CTCCTGAATTTCTCGGCCCTTCCCCGTGGACGCGTGGCCGGTCCGGCGTGTCGCCAAGCTGTGATCCCCCAACTCGCACCGCAACCTCTGCCCATGCGGGGCCGGGCCAGATCTGGGCTCTGTCTGGACTCAGTCCACGCGGGGGCGACCTTGGCCTCTACGTCCCGCGTGTCCGGGCGCGCTCCCTTCCTCAGCGCCAGTTCCCTCAGGACTTTCCCACGGGTGGGGCGCGGTGACAAGCGGGTCTCCTTGAGCACGAGCGGACACTAAAGTCCAGGTGGCCAGGCCCCCTGCCTCCTCAAGGTCAGAACAGCCAGGGACAGGAAGGGAGAGCAGCATAGGAGGGGGCTTGTTTCTGTCAGGCTGCCCCCCTCCCCCGCCCCGCCAGAGGCGGCACCTCCTGGCGCTCACCCGTTGACTCGCTTACTCACCCCTCCTCCCTCCTCCTGGCTGATCCTGACTTCGCTAGGGCTTCAGAGTCGCTGCCCACCTACCACCCCACCGGACCCAGGCAGAGGGAAGACAGTGCCCGAAGCCAGGATAGCCAGAGGGTGGGGACAGGCAGGGCACCGCTCCCTGGTCATCCTGGGGCAGTGATCAGGGTCCTGGATGGGGACGAACCACGGTGAAGGAAGCTACTTGGCTTCCTGGCTGACAGGCCAAGGAGGAGGCTGACGGTTGTTTGCTGTTCCCAGAGCGGAGGGACCGGATTTGGCCTGGAGAGCTTCTGGCCTGGCCGGGAGCCGAGGGGCTTCCGGCTGCCGCCCTGGGAGCCCTGCCCGCCCTCTTTCCCCATCCCAGAGAGGGCTCCTGCCTGTCAGGCTCAGGGTGGGGGACAGTCCCAGGGTCTTCCTGCCAGCCCTGCTACCCACCACTTTGTCCCCAGCCAGGCTAGCTCGGGACCCTCTGTCTGGGCGGACAGTCCTGTGAACAATTTAGAAAAGTGCTCCTGCCAGCTCGGGGGGCATGGACTCCCCGCGGAAAACACAGGCGGCTCAGACCCGCTGTTTCCTGTCTGTCCTGGCCCAGGGGCACTGCTGGGGGTGGGGGGCTGGGACCCTGCCCCCCCCCCAATCCAGGCTGCAGCCCGCATCCCCTGCTCCAGCAGCCGACACCCCTGAGTGTAAGCAGAGTAGAACCGGGGCCAGGACCCCCCGAGTGATCTCAGGATACCGTGCCTTTTGTGTCCCCAACAATGGTGTAGCCGGGTGGGGTGGTGGTTCCCTTCCGAGCCGTTAGACCCCGTGAATTCTGCCTTTCCAACCCACCCAGTGGGTCTGAGAGTCATTCCCGTGAGTGGCCACGTCCTGCAGCTGGCGGTGCAGCTTGGTTCTGGCCGCCCTGAGTGGCAGCTGCCATGGCCTCCGCTGGCCAGTGGAACTGGGAGAGGATGCGGCTGGCATGGGATCCGGTCGCCTTGGACGCGGCCAGCCCCGGCCTGCCCCAACAGGGGCCTGGGGAATTGCTATGAGGAAGACTGAAAAGATCATGAGCTTCTGGGGGTGTTTTTTTATTTGTTTGTTTTTCTCTTGCTGCCCAGAAGAATTCTCACTCTTGGAATCATGTCATCAAGCTAAGATGTTCTCCCACTTCCGTCCATTGGAAGGTGGCGCAGGCCGTGGGGGGATGGGGAGGGCACGGGACCCGACCCTCAGCAGCTGGTCCCAGACCTTGGGTGCCAAAGCAGCAGCTGGAGGCAGGGGGCTGGGACTCTCAGGGCCAAATGTAGACAGGCAGGCGTCCTGTCCCTTGAGGGTCGCACGGGGGGTGGGGGTGGGGACTGGCCTCCCCGCACGTGGTCTGGAGCTCCAGGGCTCCCCCTCACCTCCTTTGAGGCCTGCCTGGGAGACTTGTGTGAGGGAGGGGACATGAGCTGGGAGTCCACACAAGATGCCTGCTTCAGGTCGCAGCCCCAGGGCAGTGAGGGTGCGGAGGCCCCGGGGGACAGCGGGGCCCCTGACGTCCCCTCCTGTCCGCAGCTGAGAAGGTGAGCTCCCTGGGCAAGGACTGGCACAAGTTTTGCCTCAAGTGTGAGCGCTGTGGCAAGACGCTGACTCCGGGGGGCCACGCCGAGGTGAGCCCCACTCTTGGGCTGGGCTGTGGGACTCGGGGTTCTCCCCACCTTGGGGGTTGGGGTCCAAGGAGCCTCTGCGCGTGGCCCTCACCCCTCGCCCTTGCCCTCTGCCTAGCATGATGGGAAGCCGTTTTGCCACAAGCCTTGCTATGCTACACTGTTCGGACCCAAAGGTGAGCCCAGGGGCCCCAGCCTGGGGTCTGCTCCGGCCCCAGAGCGGCAGGGCCCACAGGAGGCCTGGGGCTATGGGTCCCCCTGCCCCCCTTCTTTCTATACTCTTCCCAGAAAGCTGCCCCAGGCCACGGGCGCCCCCAGGGGCTAGGGTCCCGACCCAGCAGAAGGGACTGCAGAGGGCCAGTTTTGGAGAAGTCCAGTAGGGCGTGAGGCCTGGGGGGTGGACACCAAAGCCACTGGCCACAGCCACCCACCCTGCAGCGCCTGCTACCCCACAGGGGTGAACATCGGAGGTGCTGGCTCCTACATCTACGAGAAGCCCTCTGCGGAGGGACCACAGGTCACTGGCCCCATCGAGGTCCCCGCGGCCCGAGCCGAGGAGCGCAAGGCGAGTGGCCCCCCAAAGGGGCCCAGCAAAGGTGGGCTGGGCTCTGGATGTGGGGGGAGGCGCGGGAGCGGCCCAGCCCCCCTGACCCCTCTCTGTCCCCGCCCCAGCCTCTAGCGTCACCACGTTCACGGGCGAACCCAACATGTGTCCTCGCTGCAATAAGAGGGTCTACTTTGGTGAGTGACCACACCCAGCCCCAACCTGAGGGAGGGCTCCGCTGCGGCCTCCGCGTGACCGTCTCCCCCCTTTCCCAGCCGAGAAGGTGACGTCCCTCGGCAAGGACTGGCACCGGCCGTGCCTGCGCTGTGAGCGCTGCGGGAAGACGCTGACTCCGGGCGGCCACGCGGAGGTGAGGGGCGCGGCGGGGCCAGGCTCGACCCGAGGGGCGGCGGGGCTGCCCCCTGGTGGCCAGAATGCAGCCTCGCAGGCGCGCGGATGCTGGGTAGCCCCGGGCAAGTGGACTGGTTGGTCATGGGGCTGGGAGCTCCAGGACTCCCAGGGAGAGAGGCCGGCAGAGGACAGAGAGGAGGCCATCTGGGGAGTGGGGAAACAGGAGTCTGTACCCCCACCTCACCTCAGCCCTTCCCCCAGCACGATGGTCAGCCCTACTGCCACAAGCCCTGCTACGGAATACTCTTCGGACCCAGGGGTAAGTGTGGCCTGGATGTGGGGAGGCGCTGGCCCCTCTCCCCGCCGCCCCTCCCCACCACCCTGGCCGCCTCTGTCCGCAGGAGTGAACACTGGAGCCGTGGGCAGCTACATCTACGACAGGGACCCTGAGGGCAAAGTCCAGCCCTAGGCCCACAGCCCTGCCCCCCCACTGCCTGTCTCTCGGGGGGAAATGACCAGCTACCCAGCCCCGTCCAGCACATCCTGCCCTCCAGTCCAGGGCCTTCGCCAGGGGCATGGGGAGGAAGCCACCCAGGCCGTCTCTGGACGAGGCTGCCCATCCCCGTTTCTCTGGCCGTGTCTGCCCTTGTTCTAGCACCTGCTAGCCCCTTTTGTGTCCTTGTGGCTCTGTACCCATGTGTCTCTACGTCTGTGTGTCTCGTGGCCCCATGTGTCCCTGTGTATCTCCATGGCCCTGGGCGGGTCACTCCGAGGTGGCCATCAACTCTCCCCTCCTGCTGTCCCATCCCTGCCCCACAGTGTTATTTATCTCCCTTTGCCACTGTGGCCACAGCCACACCCCTCACGGTGTCCCTGGACGAGGCACCCTGCCAGGGCCCTCTGCTGTCTCCCACACTGCCTTGCAAGTGCCCACCTGCCACCCTCACGTGGTTCACACGCCACTGTCAAGATTTTTGCTGTTAATAAAAGGTTTGAGGATTGCAAGACCCTTGCGCTGTGTCTCTGGTTGGGGGATGGACATGAGTCCAGGACAGGGTCCCTTTGTCCCACCCACAAGTGCTCCACACGCTTAGGCCCAGCTCCACGTGGGGTAGGTCCTGTTCCCAAGGTTGCTGGTGGTGGGAGGGAGGCTTTGTTCCGGGCTGTGGTGCCAGCGCAGGGGCGGTGGGCAGCTGAGAGGGGCCGTGGAGGTGGAGGCGGAGGCGGGACGCACCCTGGGGGTGGGGTCTAGAGGGGGGAGGAGCCTGTGTTCCGCTGAGCCCACTCCCAGAGCGATAGCACTGAGCCTGGGCCCCGGGACATGCTGACGCTGGGTGTTAGAGCCGTGAGCTGCCTGGATCCACCGGAGACCCAGAGGGGGCGGGGGGCGGGGGGAGGGGGTCAGCCTTGGGAAGGTGGCAGAGGGCATGTATCGCGGAGGAAGAGAAGACGGGTGACCGGAGGAAGGGTCCTCAGCAGGGTGGGGACTGCTTCAGCCCAGGACTGAGCCTGCAAGTCCAGAGGGTTTGGATGGGGAAGGGTGTGGTTAGGCCGACACCCCCCCACACACTGCCCGGACTCCGGCTCCGGCGACGTGGAGGCCTTTGCGGTCAGCCCCAGCACTGGTGGCGGCCTGAGGGCGAGGGCTTGAGTGACCCCTGTCCGGGCGCTCCTGCTCAGCCAGAGTCCCCGAGTCTGCGTTTGCAGTGATACCGGCGTCGCTCGCGGCCTCTCCGGGCCGCCCAGGCTCTGCCCTTTCCACCTGGACCCCTCGGGAGCTCCTGGGAGCCCCCTTCGCTTTACCTGCCGCTCCCGGGCAGTCCGCCAGAGGGCGCGCCGCCGCCTCCACTCAGCGCCCTGGCTGAGGCCGTGCAGACCTCCCCGGCCCGCCCCCCAGCACCAGGCCCCCAGATATCTTGCCCTCCCTGGTGCCAAGGGCATCAGGGCCTGGTCACCTCTGGGCCCATGTCCCCAGCCCCATAGGCGGCCAGCTCCTTATGTGTCCCGCATCCCGGCCCTTGACATCCCGGCCCCTCCCGGTCCATGCTCCAGCCCGCGGGCTCACACCGCTGAACCTGATGCCAAGCCCTTTGTCCGAGGAGCAGCCATCCGTGTCCCTGGAGGGTGCGTGGAGCGAGCGGCTCCGTGTCCCGCAATGCCAGGCCGCCCTCCTGGCAAGTCCCGGCCAGGCGCCCTACGTCTCCTCCTGGTTGGCCCTAGGAATGCAGCCAGAACGTGAAGGGCAGGCCGGCCTGCATGGGGGTACCCTAGGGACCCCCAGTTCCCCACCCAGGCCGAGTATTGGGCCGGTGGGGCACCCGGCGCGCTCGGAGGAGAGGTTGGGACGACTCCCCTCCTTGTCCCCGCCTCCTGTCAGGCGCAGGCTCCGGGTTGGGGGGTCACTCTGGGAGAACTCAGCTGCTGCTCTCGCGGCGGGCTCGGGGTGTCGGATGGGAAATTCATGTCTTCTGGGGGGTGGACGCTGCAGAGGGCACAGCCTGGGCCCCTCCCTCGGGAGCCTCCAGTGGAAACTATGCGGGGAGGAGACGAGGTGGGCGGCGCGCCGGTCCCCGAAGCCGGGGCAGGGAGGGCCTGTGTGAGCGGCAGGCCCCGCCCGTCCCGGCGTGGGCGAGGGGTGCAGCGGTCTCCTGGACGCAAGATCGGCTCGGCTGTGCCTGGACGTAGAGCGCCCCCACCCTGAGTCGGGCCCGGGAGGGCGCGCCCCATTTCCTGCAGGCGGAGGGTGACGCGCTGCTGTGTTTGTTTCCAAGGGACTGTCATGGAAACCGGGGCGGTGCCGCTACTGTCCGTCTCCGCGCGGCGTCTCTAGGAGCGTGGGTGGGGGCCGCGGTGCCCCCTGTGTTCCTGGGGTTTCCTCGGCGGCACCAGCTCCAGGAAGTCCCCCCACAAGCCAGGTGTTTTCTCGGGCTCCCGCAGCCCCGGACGTACCCGCAAGATGCACGGGAGGGGGAATGGGCGTCTGCGTCCCTGGTGTGCCGCGCCTCCCTGCCCGGCCTCCACTCCCACCCCTCCAATTCATGCCCAGCCAGTGAGGCGGCCCTGAAATGCCTTCTGACCACTTCGCTGCCCCCCAGAACCCCAGGGCTGCCCACGACACCGGGGCCTCCTTCACCATCCTGCATCCCGCGCCCCACCTGCCACCTGCTCAGTCTTCCTAAGACTCCTGCACCAGGCCCCTCCAGGCACCCCTCTCCTCCCACCTCTGACCTCGGCCCCCAGCCAGGCATCTCTGTGGGGCCAGCTGTGTCTGCAGCTCCCGCCACCCCCAATTCCCTGAGACCCATGTTGAGGGCCCCCCACGGACTTCACCCAGCTCAGACTGGCCTGAGCTTCTTTAGGATGGGAGGGGGTGCATAACTCCTCCTGCCCCTGGGTCCAAGCAAGAGCCAACTCCCTGGCCTTGGGGCTGAGTGCCAGTGACCCTGGGGGCGGGGCCAGGCGAGGACGGGGGCGGGGGAACCAGAGCGGCCAGGTGTGGGCAGCACATTTTCCCAGGGCCGGCTGCAGGGGTGGGCTCAGGCCCAGCAGCGGGACGGGCATGGCTGGAATTGTGGGCGGTTTTGCATGGGCTTTGGCTCCAGGACGTAGAGGTTCCTGGAACCAGGCTCAGCTTGGAGCAGGGGGAGGGCAGGGGCACCCCATCTGCCGGACTGTGGACCCCAGGCAGGGCAGGCTGAGGGAGCGCAAGGTCGCATGGGCCCCCATCCCTGCACCCCGGCGCATGCCCCTCCAGCTTCCAGGAGAGGAGGCTACAGCGGTGTTTTCACCTGGGTCTGGGCTCAGCCAGCAGAGCCCTTCCCCCGTGCCTCAGGGCCAGGAGGAGCAGAGCCCTTCCCCCGTGCCTCAGGGCCAGGAGGGGCGTTGGACCCAGCAGGCCCACCCTGGGACCAGACCTCGGGGCAGACAGGGGGTCCCGGGAGACAAGCTGCTGAAAATAGGCCCTGGGAATGTCTGAGCGTCCCTGACTCAGCCAGGCCCAGGGGAGGGGGAGGGGCAGGCAGGGCTGGACCCTGAGGGCCCAGCAGTTGTCCTGCGGTGTGCGCTGACCACAGCTAGGGCACCTGTGTGCCAGAGCCCAGGCGACCTTCAGCCCTAGGAGGGGACGGTCTTACACGTGGCCACACCCCTGGCTCATCTCCAGTGAAGAGACCTGGAGGCCCAAGGTGGGGAGGGCGCTGGGCGTGGGCTTCAGGGGAGAGGCCAGAGGCACGCGCCAGCCTGCAGACACAGCCTTGTGCCGCCCGTCCAGCCCTGCAGAGCAGAACTTTCCTGGGCGGGGCGGCGAGGGGCTGACCCTTGCGGGTGGACTCCTCAAAGGTCACTGGGGCCCAGCCCTGCCACCGCCACAGGTACACGCAGCCTGGTCCTGCCTGGTTCCCTTCTTCGTCCGCAGCTGAGCCTGGTTGGAGCATGAGCGGGCAAGGGTGCTCACTATGCAGAGGGAGGTGGCCTTGGGGGTGCGGCCCGAACCCTGCAGTGGCCTCCCCCAGGTCTCGGGGGCCCGCGGTGTCCTTACGCTGTCTTGGCACAGGGCAGGATGTTCTGGGCACAGAAGCAGCCTGGGGCAAGTGGCTGGGTTGCTTTGCATCCTGTCCTGGCCACTCTGTCCCCTCTGCTCCAGACCAGGTCCCTGTGCCTGCCGGCTGGTGCCCACAGGGAGAAGAGCACGGACCATGGAGCCGGCAGTGCTGCGGAGCAAGTTTGGGGGGCTGCACCTTGGAGTGTCTGAGGGGGTTTAGTGTGTCCTCTGTGTATGCAGCAGTGCTAACGGTGCCCCAGCTCAGAAGGGTCGGGTCAGCAGTTGGAGGGCCCGACGACATCATGTCGAGCTGGCCCGCTGGTCCTGCGTCAGGTGGGCTCTGGGCCAGTTGACCGCCCCTCCCCCGCAAGAGCTAGGCCAGGCACGCTGATGAAAGCAGCCTTACACCTTGTGGGGTCCAGGTCTTGGGGGGGGGGCATGCTGTCAGGCCCAAGGCTCAGATGGGGCATCTGGACATATGCTCTGGGGGAGGAGGCAGGAGCTGGGGGGCTGCAGCCGATGAGGGGTCCCTACCCCCATGGGCAGGCAGGATGGGTGGGGAGCTCAGGGGAGTGGAGGAGTGTGTCTGTCTCTGAGTGGAGTATCTGGAAAAACCGTGCCTGTGCCAACCAGAGGGTGAGGCCGGTGGCCCCCCTTGACACCCCCCATGACCATGGCAACAGGCAATAACAGCGAGGAAGGAAGGGACTCATCTCGTGGTTTCAGGGGGGCTACTCCCCCGGCAGGGCGGGGTTGGGTTTGCGGTGTGGGGGAGGGTGGGTGGAAGGGAGGACAAATCTGGCCCCCTGCCCCACCTGCCCCAGACGGGCGAGGGCTGGGGTGGGGGTTGGGCAGGAACATGGGAGGCAGCTGCTCGGAGAGGGCCGTGCGCACAGCCCCCGAGATACCCAGGTGGCTGCCCCCACAAACAGGTACGCCCCAGGTGTGGGGACACACACAGGAGTGTGTCCAGGCACCCTGTCACTCGCTGACCCCCTTGGAGGCCTCTGCCCAGCATGCCCACACAGGACGGCCTTCCCAGGGAACCGCAGTTGACGTGTGTGGCCCTGTGACAGACACCCCAGCTCCCCAACCCTTCTAGGCCCTGCCGCCCCTCCTCTCCTGCCTGGTGTCCTCCCCCCTCCACTCTCCCGCTCTCTCCAGATCATGAGCCAGGAGATGAGGTCAGGACCCACCCTGCCCGCCTTCGGCCCCGGCACCAGGCACAGCCGAGGGCGTCAGGCTGGTCGCCTTAGCTCCAGAAGCCACAGCGAGGTGCCCACGTGCCAGGCAGAAAAGGCAGAGGCCCAGACTCGACCACAGGTGTTGAGGCTTCAGGGCGGGAGCAGGCAGTGTGGGTGGGGATAGACTGGGGGTTCCACCAGTGCAGGCAATGCACCCCACTCCCGAGGGGGGCGGGCAGCCAGTCACCAAGGGCTCTAGGGCCCTGGGCAGAACTGTGGCCTCAGAAAGGCGGTCTGAGGGAGGAGGGAGCGACTGGAGAGAGGCGTGGGGAGCAGGACGCAGGGCTGCGGGGTCAAGTGTGGCACTCTCAGTAGGAGGAGACTCTGGCGCGTGGCCTCTGTCACCCCTGAAGCCTGGAGCTCCCACCCTCATCCCCAGAGGGCCTCCTGGGGGAGGCAGAGCGCAGGTCGGCAGGGTGTTGGGGTGCAGGCACCCATGGCTTCACCCGTGTCTCCCGGTGCCAGGCTGTGGGGCTTGAGGACGGATGGGTGGGCTTCAGGGCGGGTGAGGTAGGGGTCGCTGGGTGCTGTCAGGGCCGAGTGTCCGAGTGGGGCGGCCTGGAGCTGCGGGGCCCTGTGGGAGGGTGGGCTCCGGCACTCCATGGGGACGGGGACTGGACAGGCCCAGGGACGATATGTTTTTTGAGATGGGTGTGTTGAGGGGAGATGAGGACACTGGTCATGGTGGTGGCTGAAGGGAGGGACCATGGACAGAGCAGAGGAAAAGCCCGTGAGCTGGGGGCCGGCCTGGGCGGGGGCTAGAGCTTAGGCGCTGAGGAAGCTGCGAAGCTGTGTGTGGTGTGGGGCCCGGGGAGCAGGGAGGTGAAGGGTCCACACAGAAAGGCCTTTCCCCCAGCAGAGGGTGGTGGCCTGGAGGGCAGTGACCAGGAGAGGGGAAGGTTCGGCCACACACACTACAGGGCAGGGATTTCCCAAGGGGGCCTGTCTCTCCCGCCTGGCCCCCTGGACCACAGCCAGAGCCAGCCTGCCGGCCCACCAGGCTCTGGGGCAGGTGGGAGGCGCCGGCCAGCCCGACTTGGATGGCCGGCTGCTGGAGGCCTCCGGGGCCCTGGCGCCCCACCATCCCTGACAGAAAGCCGCGCCCCACAGGCATCGCTGTCTCTGCGGAGGGCGGGGCGCCCCCTCTCGTCTTCCGAATTCCCCGGGGACGTTCCCGCTTCGGTCCGGAGGATTTCCCAGGACCAGCAGGGTTGCGGGGCGGGGGCGCCTCACAGAGGCCGGGAAGCCCCGCGAGGGTGGGGCAGGCCCCTGCAGGTGGGGAAAGCCTGAAGGCAGGTCTTGGGGGGATGCCAGGTTGAGCCCCCCTGGCAGGTGTCTCCAGCCCTCTACCGGGAGAGAGTCGGAGTAAAGCGCGCACGGGAGGCGGGGCGGGGTCCCGGGGGCGCGCGCCGTTCGCCGCTGCCTTCGCCTGTCGCATTTGGGAGCGGAATCGCCCTTCTCCCCCGCTCCAGCGAGTCTCCGAGGGGCTCGAGCAGGTGCTAGGGGCAAGGGACCGGGGCTGGGGTGCGCCTTCCTGCTCCTGGAGAGCCCCCTACACAGATCCTGGATCCTGGAGCCCCAAGAGCAGCCCCACCCTTCAGGGAGTCCCCCCGGGTCCCCTGCGCCCCCCTCCGACCCCCTCCCAGCCTCTGCTAGGTGGTTGGCTAGGCCCAGCGGCTGCCTGGAGGCGGGGGTGGACCAGATGACCTTTCCCGGTCTCCTGGTCTGCAGCCAAGGTCTCGGGGTCCAAGTCCCGGAATGAGGGGGCGGGGCGTGAGGGGCGGGTCTCAAAGGGGTGGCGTCCCCGGGTCCCTGAAAGGCGCGCAGCAGGCGGGACCCACGCAGTCCAGCTCTTCTGTGTGCTGCAGCCTAGCCACCCTCGTCGGACCCAGAGCCGCCATGCCCAAGTGTCCCAAGTGCGACAAGGAGGTGTACTTCGGTGAGCGCTCCCCCGAGCACCCCTCCTCCCCTGGCCACC